GGCCTATTTCTATTGGTTTGTTTTAGAGTGAGACAGTTCATGCACATGTGAGAGAGAGTTTACATACCCCCTGTCCCTCCTCCCTGACCCTGATGCTCTGCAGCAGGTCGTTGATGATCTGGGCAGCATGTTCGCAGCGGTCAGGAGGACCACTTATATGGGCAATCTTATCTGGACCAGTCCCATCATCTTAGAGAAAGATTTTAGTCTGCATTAAACAATGCTTTCGACATTAACTTTGATTCAAATTACTAAAGTGATTTGAACTGATTAGTGCTCAACTGAAAATCAACACTCAACTCTATTACCTGCTCCTAGTGTTCAAAATCATTGAGTTCAACACAGAAAAAAAACACGTCATTTGCTCTTAATCTTGTAATACTAGATTTTTGCAGGCACCTGCTGCGTGCACACAAACTCATGTAAAAAGGCATTTAAATAATTTGAAAACGGATAATGATTTCATTGTTCTGGTGAGTGATTTTTGAGCTATCACTCATGTTGTCATTCTATAAAAGATCAAACTTCAGTGATGATGGCTTGTTATGGGTAAGGTTAAGGTTACTTATAAACTGTCTTTTTGTGTGAGTTAATGGCATCAGATATCAAACTTTCATGTTGGTTTGACACTGATGAGAACCTGAATGCAGCGTTCATGAAATTTTACAACAAAATTTTTGGAATTTTTATAAATGCAACCACCATCACAGGGCCCTACCTTGTTTGAATTGTATCCGAACTCCAGCATCATTCTGGATTTTTTTGATCATCTCTCCGTTGCGTCCGATGACAACACCGACTGAATGTCGTGGTACTGGGATCTGAGTTGAAAACAAAAGTATTAATAAGCTTAGATTTGGTTCAACTGATCCCAATTCTAATTTTGCTCCCATGCACAAACTCACATCCATGCCTCCTCCCATTCGGGAGCCAAAGTCATTTCTTTCACTGTAGCCGCTATGGTCTCTCTCCCTCAGAATCTCTTGCACCATTTCCTGGGCTTGCTGAAAAGGAGAACCTAATGAATATAGTTCATGGCAACTCCGCAACACATTTATTTTGAGCTTCATAAGATGATTTTATGGCTGTACCTGGACTTTGTATGGATCTCCGATAATGCGCAGGGGTTTGTCAACGTTGGGTCCCTGAGAGGCATCCTGGATCAGGATCATCTTCACCCCTGCACGCTCCTAGAGGATCAAACTTCATGGTTATTTACAGCTTTACTGACACTACTCACTACACTCTGGCTTTACTGATTAACCTTTTTTCATGTAAAACAGCAATTCCACTGCACTGAAAAGTGGGTACACATCTGTCTGAAAATACAAAAGCAACAGCCATGCAATATACCTGTAGTTGTTTGATGGTCTCTCCTCCCTTGCCAATGACAAGGCCAGCCTTGCCAGCTGGGATCATCATCTCATGAACCGTGCCATTCTGCCCATTGGTGGACTCGTGATAAGAAGAGGGGGGTGTACCCCTCCCTCGTGACACTATCTCATCCAACAGCCTCTTGGCTTTCCTAGCCGGGGAAGAGCTGACCAGTTACTCCACATCCATTTTAAGACATCATGTCATCAAGCTGATATTATGCCAAGGGACTATTATTACATCACATAATATTTATGAAATTAGGCAGTAGGCCATTATAGATAACCAATTTAAAAATGACATGATAAAATGGGGCTTTAAAGCTATTGCATCATCATTAACAAAAAAGCCAAACTCTTTGTTTTGAAAAACTGTTTTGATATATTCTTATCTTTCCCCAACATCTGACAAATGTTATGTTTGGCAACCATTTCTGATGCTTCCTCATAAAATGATAGTGCCTCTTTGCATAAAATCCAAAACTTACTGTATAGAGTCGAGGGAACCTGTGAGAGAGACGCTCCTTTCTGGAAGGCCTCCGCTGTCTGGACACACACAGATAGAGTGCGTAGGTAACACCAAGAGGAAAATAAAATGGAAAACTGTGGATAACAGAAGTGCAGATAGTACCTGGAGCAATCTGAACCTTGCAACCTGACTCCTGTTGAATTTTATTGATCTGTTCACCTCCACGGCCAATAACTGGGGATGGGGAGAAAGAAAGATGTGTGTTGTTTGTTGGGTCACACTTTTTAAAGTGGCATCTATTTGCGTCTTACATCACAGGATCAGAGTGGCATCAATATGTTTTTAAAACAGAGTTGGACTGCACTCACTGAGTCCCACCATGCTGTCTGGAACACTGTACTCCTCTGTGGTGGAGGCAGGTCTGGCACCAACAGCAAGTGAGGACAACGACAAAGAGGGAACAAGAGGCAACAAGTCAAGTAGTAGCAGACTTTTTAATTGTACTTTTGCCACAATCTTGTTTTTCTCCACTCTTCTCTCCACTGCCATGATACAAAGGCTGAATACAGCTAATTATAACACAATCGACTGAAAAATACTACGAGAACTCACCTTTGTTGTGCAAGAGCAGCAAGCTGTGCGCCAATAGCTGAGATGTGATGTGATGTGATAGCAACAGAGAGAAAAAGAGAGTGAGAAAACAGAGCAAAGGAGAGGTTTTAGTTTACTGATGGACTCTGGGATGAGAATGTGAAAACAGACAGAGGAGGGGAAGTGTGGATACACAGGCTGTAAGTTATAAAAACCACAATGCAATAAGTGAAAAGAGTATAACTTAGCAGGATGAACTCACACAGTGCTTTAGCTGATTCCAAGTCACTCTGCGCAGCCAGTTTCTTGCTCTCTGGTTCATCTGTCAAATGAGGGAACAACAGATATACACTATAGCTCGGTGTGTGTGGTACGCCACAAAGATATCTTTGGCATCTAAAGCCATTATCAACTATGCCACACAGAGTTGGTTAAGCAGTGTGGTTATTGCTACCTGCATCCTCCAGCTGTCGTTTCTGTGCAGTGAATGGAAAGCCATCTGATGCTGTGTTGTTGTTCATGGGAGGACCAGCATCACCCCCGATCTTAGCTGCAATCTGAAACACAAATGTAAACGTCACCATCGATATATGAAATATGTGCACATTTTAACATTCATGTATACTGTAAGGTACACATTGGAATGAGCAGCATCTTATAACACTGTACAGCCTTTATATATATACACTTGATTAGCACTAATGTACAGTACAACAGTATATTACTGCCACTGTACAGTGTGTATTCAGTACGTATTAAATATGGACAATTGTATATTTTAACTGGCCTCTCTTGGTTATGTGTATAATTTGACTTTTTAAATTGTATTTGTTTCTTAACTACCACATTTTGTTTTTATGATTTTTTTGTCAATCTATGTGGCCCAGGAGATCCACTATAATAATAAGACTGGATACAGTACATATTAAGTAGAATTTCGGTTTCCATAATACAGTAATGCAATGGAGCCTTAGATGTTTCTTTTCCCGCCATTGAAACTACACTAAAGTTTGATGCATCTAACAGTTATCTACTAGCCACATAACTGCATTACATAACTCGTTTTTGATATTGAGAACCACACAAATGCTATAATGTTTAATTTGTGCTGAAACCGTTTTATAGAGGTGTTGATTCAACATTATGGTCATTTTTGGAGGTTGCAGTTTGTGGTGCAGTTGAATTATATAGTGTTATATGGAAGATATGCTAATTAATAGAAATATGTCTCTGTACAATGCAATATGGTTCAATAGCATCACAAATTGCATTCTCCAAAATGACCAACAATTGAATCAGCAACTCTCTCAAACAATTTCAATAAAAACTGATTATTAAATAACCTTCATGAAGAGAGGGTTTATTGCAGGACTGTTACGTTAGACTGGATTGTTTTTTTTTTAGCTCGGTGTAGCTAAACTACCAAAATATTAAAAAACAAATGAAAGAAATATAAAATGAAAGCAAAAAGAAGAAATAAAAATGACACGATGCAAAAAAAACATACAAAATTGAGAGGATCGGGGTCAAACTGTGCCTTCAATGCTTCTTTGTGCCTTAGTTAATGGATGAAGAATAGATCGGTTATATAAAATAACCACCCCGCAGTTAATTTAAATGTCCCATATTCATAGATTTAGAGGTAGACAGTGAAATGAAATAACAATGTCATGCGAATTAGTTATTGTATTTTGTCTATATATAGCTTTTTGGGGGCACAAGCTGCAGTATTTTAGCTAAGATGTAACGAGCACAAGCAGTGACATGTCCCAACTAGCTTTATTGTACTATTATGACATTATTAACTCGGACAAATTTGTGAATTCAAAACATCAAGCCCCGTGTTTATGCTATGTTAGCCCTCAAGCTAACTTGAGCTAGCCCTCCCTCCAGACACGCTCATACCCGTCACATCCCTCACCTGCCGGGCCCGCTGCACCGCGTCCGCAAAGGCATCTTTCTTGATGCCGCCTGCTCCATTCCCAAGAGCTGCCTGTCCGCCGAGAGGGGGCCCGGAGCCGGGCGGCGGCACCGCGTTGTACTCCGACATGTTGACCAGAAGACAGGCGAGGGAGCGGGAGTAGAAAACCGAGATCAGAGCTACGCAGGACTGGGAAGGAAAGTCAAGAAACTGACGGAGCAAGGAAAGCGCCGGAGACACGACGGCGGCCGCGAAGGTTCACTCGCGTTCTTGACTGTAGACATGGCTGTATATGTACGTTATTACTCTATGGTATGAGCTGAAACGATTTGTTGATTAACCGATTAGTCGATCGACAGAAAGGTGATTGGAGTATTTTCATAATAATATAAAATAATTGGCTAATATTTTCATACTAGATCAATGATTGTGGTCATTTTAAAAGCAAAAATGTTAACATAAAAGCAATAGGCTACTGTTATTTTTCATTTCATTATTTATTTTTAACCACAATTTTTCAGTATTTTTAATTTGCTTTTCAAGCCTGCAAAATATTGATTTGAACAAATAAATGTTTTACATGCATACAGTAAACAATCAAAATATAATCTGCATTGATGTGATTACATAGCATTCAATTAATTAATGTAGGCCTACAGCTTAACCTATAACAGTTTACATTATCACCAGAACATAACATACCACTGGATATAGATGCACATTCCTTACAGTATCCAACAATTTTGTAAACAGTGCTTTTCTGTTTGATACTTCACTCCCTTAGTTTCTACACTGCTTGTGAGTAACATCTGTTGTGTTTAAAAAGAGTGTCTGCGTCGGGCTCCTACAGTGTCTGTGGAAATCCTGGTCTGGAGAACGGTGTCAAACTTCATTATGTCCTTTTCTGGGAAAAAACAACCAATAGCTTGATGATTTTCATCTGTCAGAGGGATTCCATCCAGCTTCTCCACATAACTGGCCGAGGCACTGATGCTGCCGAGCCCAGAGGTGACATCAGAGTTTGCAGCTCTAATGTTCAGCCATTCAGACACCATGGCACATGCTCTTTGATTCAAAAAAGTGCTCCCAAATTCTGAGGGAGCACCTCCACTCACTGAAAACAGAAGATGAATGGTGTAATTCATAACAACAATGCAGATATGTAAAATTTTTAAATTAACCAAAAACTCACTGCTTGGAATGCAGAATCCATCAATGCTAGCTGTCATCTTCACCGATGGTAGTGTTGGTTCCTCGGGTTCTGGTACAACAGCTTTCAACATCCGGTCTATGAGCTCCTGCTCCCTCCTGTCCCACTCCTCTTCTGTCAGCTCAGGCTGTTTAACTTGCCAGGGAAGTTCCAGCTTTTTCTTCTGTTTGTCTTCTGTGCTGAAGCAGTGGCCCTTGTTACGTATTATCAAGTCATTAATTTTCTTGAACAGCTCCTCACCTGTGATATGATGATAGCGGCTAACAACATGGTATCTGTTTTGACACTTTTCCACAAGCCACTGGAGGCCCTTGCCTTCTCCGGCGATGTGTTCCTCAATGGATCTGTTGCTGAGCCAGTCACCCCAGGTGAATAGGACCATGCAGTGTCTCCAGACTCTCTCACTGAATGGCATCAGGAGCTCGACCACTGCTTTGCGATCTTCTTCTGTAAATGCTTTCGAAATGGGAATCACCAAGAGAAAAATATGAGGGCCTGGAGCACACATGGAGACACTGCGCAGAACTTCACCTTTGAGCCAGTCAGCTGTCATCGTGTCTGTAAGCCAGCCCGGTGCCTCAACAACTGTGATGTTTACTTCAGCAACATTTCTTTGTTGTTTTACACACATTGTAGTTCCTCTCTTACATTGGAATTCCTACCCAAAGGAAATAAAATGAAAAATTAGAACTATTAAAACAGACTTGACAAAGCAAAGGTTGTCCTTATACCATGTTCCTGGAATATTTCAGTTTAGGCAGTATATTGTGATACCTTCTTCATCCAATATGTGTCAAATAGCTCTTTGGAAAGGATTCTGTTTCCTGTCATACTCTTCCCGGACTCCTTTCTGCCAACAAGCACAACCCTCAGGTCAGTGATTGGCTGCTTCTCTCCTGGAAAAAATGTAATGTTTTTCATTATAAAATAGTTACTAAATTAAAAATAAGTGACATGAAAATTTTTCCCTTACCTTTAAACAACTCTCTTAGTATTCTTGATTGTCTTTGAGTTGTCTGCCTAATCCTTTTAGCCATCTTGTCTTCAGCCTCTTTCCTTGCCTCTATTTCCTCCGCACGGCACAGGTCAACTTCATAATGAGGATTTTTGTTTCCTGCCCACATCTCTTCAATCTTCTCGAGGAGCTCCGTTACCTGCGTCTCATCACTGCATTTCATGTTGTCCAGGACATGATACCTGTTCCCACACTGCTTCAGTAGCCACTGCAGACCTCCCTCACTCTCTATACGCTCTTCCACAGTCCTCCCTCCGAGCCATTCACCTCTAGTGAACGCAACAATCGTGCGTTTCCAGATGTCATCTGTGAACAGACTCATGTGCTCTTGCACGGCTCTCTGGTATGATGCGTTGAAAGCAGATGCCAGGCCGACCACGAGGAGCACTGCGTGGGGTCCCGGAGGGCATAGATACATGCTGTTCTCTATTTCTAGTTTATCCCTCTCACAGGTGTCCTGAAGTGTGTGCTTGTAGAACCATCCAGGAGAATCTACCACTGTGAGCTTCCTCTCTGCCACCATGCTGTGGCTTATTTCACAGGACTTTGTTGTTGTTGTTGTTCTGACATGAACAGCAAATGCATTTTTTCTCAGAATGCTGTTGCCTGCCGAGCTCTTGGCTGACCCCTGTGCACCAACCATCACTAGTCTTAAGTGTGCCGGGGGTGTATTACCACCTATGGAAATTGAGCCAAGAATATTCAGACTTGTAGTTATATGCACTATAATGGTATTTTTGACACTCAATAAAAAACTCCTCACCTTCAATCAGTGATTTGAGTTCTCTTCTTTGTGTCTGCACTTTTATATACCTTTTTGATGCTCTTTCAGCCAGTCCTTGCATTTTCTCTCTCAGAGCATTGCCAGCAGCACTGTCAATGGAACAAAGGCCACCAGCATTTTCTGCAACCATTGCCTCTATTTTCTCAAAAAGCGTTATGACTTGATTGCTATCCTGCTTGTTATTGATATTGAAAACATGTTTTCGGTTTCCACATTGTTCGAGAATCCACTTCAGGGCTGGCCACTTACTGATTTTATGTTTTAAAGTTTCATCACAACATGGAGCCTCTGCAGTAAACAGCACAACTGTGTGATTAAACACTCCTTCTTGGAAAAGTTTCAGGTGCTCTTCTAGTGAGTGTTTGAAGATCTGAGGAAATGATAAACCAACAGGAATGACTAGGAGAAAGGCATGAGGCCCTGGTGTACACAAATAGACGCTGTTCGTTATTTCTATCTGATCCAACTTTGGGGTGTTTTCTAGTGGATAGTGCCACCACCAGCCTGGAGTATCCACCACAGTGACTTTTCTGCCATGTACCTCCAGCTGCCCCACAACACTTGTGGCAGTTCTTCTGTTGGTTTCAAAAACACTTTTACCCAGTATGATGTTGCCAGTTGCACTCTTATGACTGGGGTTACCATGTATTTCTCTTCCACCTATCAACACAATCCTCAACTCTGGAGAGTGTTGAATTTGCCCTGGAAGAGAGATGCAATATTCTTAAAATAAGTGCATTATATAAAACTGTAAAATTGTCCTTTCTGCAGAATCAAATGATTGATTATTTTGCATATCTGCGTGGCAAGAAAGGCTCTGTAAGTTGATTACTAGTAATCACATGTGCCTGTGTAGGCTTCCTTATAAATTGTGCTTACTATCGAAGAAAAAACAGCAGTATATGCGTGTCTAACATGAATTTAAAAGCCTTCTTCTAACAATGTGTGATTGAATTATCCCGGTTAAATAAACTAACAAATAAATGAAATAAATAGTTTATTATACCCACCTTGATGTCCTACCTAAACAACTGCACAATGTTGCATTAGACCATTACAAGACCTCACTTACCAGAGTTGGAAACAGCAGGTATATTATCCATTGTTTTCAATGTCCATGTTGACTTCTCTATTTCTGTTGGGCAGCTGTTTTGATAATAAGAAGGAAACTGACTTAATTTTCCAAATCTGCAACAGTCGGGAACAACGCTGGAAACAATGAAACTGAAGCTATAAAAACAGGAAGAGCAACATAATTCTACTTGTCAGTCTTTTTGCTGGAGAGAAATATGGAGGGTGTGGCAGGATCTTTTGGATTCACTTCTATGACTGTTGATCAGAGAGGTCTAAAGGCGGTGTCAGAGACACAGCCTGTGAATAGGCAAGGCAGGTAACTGCTTGGGGCCCGAGGCTGTTAGAGAGTCAAACTTAACTCCCCAGCAATGTCTCAAAATGTGGCTCCCCACAACCAATGGAAGATAAACTAAAATATATAAACTAAATCATGGCCAGGGCCGTGATACATTGGTCACTAAAACAATCTTCTAAGATCAAATATTATTGACTCTGACTGCACGAAACAATGAGGTCACACATTTTCAGAGAAGCCACCTGCACTTACAAAGAGAAAAATGATATACTCTGAAATAGTGATCAAATATCAACAGCACCAGACTTTGCTGGGATGGAAGCATTATTAAATCATCTGGTAGTTCAATTAAAGTGACATCACTAACATTTTTACATAGATTAAATACATACATTACATACATTTCATTTCTCAAATGTAAGGATTTGCTCATTTCTCTGTGTTGCCCTATATCTGTGCAAAGTGAATATCTTTAGGTTTTTGAGGACAAGCAGGACATATGAAGAAATCCCCTTGAGCTCTGGGAAATTGAGGTGGATATTTTTCGACAGTAAAAATAACTTTGTCTAGTTGCAGCAGTAATTGTATATAAAACACTGGCTGTAATCAATTCTGTGTAGGTCAAACTGTCACAGTTACTGAAAATAATTTACATCTATTTGACAACTATTACTCCTGTTGTAAAGATCGTGCGTTACTTACTACATGTGATGTCGAAATAATTTAACCAGTAGAGGTCGCTGTCAATTTTTCCTTTCCCTCGAACACGACACTACACGCCATCTTTGTTGTGGTCGAAATACGTTAGCGGATGACGGACACCTTTTCTTTCCTGTGATTGGTCAAAGTTGGTGATGCCAAAGGTCGCGTATATTTGGCGCCCTTCGTTCACAACCAGTCTGGCGCGTTTTTGAAAGAGCGAAACACGTCAAGAAACATGTATTTTGAATTCGTACTCGGAACATTTTGGCTAATACCCGTGTAACCCTCTCTACTTTGCGTTCATATACCAGTGGCTGACATGTGGAAAATGTTTTGGCCACTTTTGGGACCTGTGAGGAGCGGAGCTGCGTTGAAAGTAGCACCGAGCAAAGTCTGCTAGCTTGTTGTTTTACAGTGAAATTTATATGTCTGGTGGCAACAAACAGCTGCCCGCTTCTGACAATGCACTTTCCCTCTGTTGTTTATTCACACTCTCGAGGAAGTGAATAAAAAAGGCAAGAAGACCGTCTCTGGACCTTCAGCAAGTTACCGGTTCTGCATTATCGGTGAGTGTTTTCGTCGACCTTTGTTTTTCTGGTTGCCTGTCTGTCATTTGGCACAAAACTGAAAGAGCTGCTGAGCGCCAATATCAGGAATATCAATTTTATGTTACTTGTTCCTGACCACTGTAGGATATTATAATATAATATACTTGAGTATGCCGTATATAAGCATTTTATACTGTCTTTACCTCTCCCGTACCATTGCGTATAGTCTCGTATTAATGCTGTTAAACACTGCTCGTGTACTGTGCAGGGCTGTGTAATGTTTATAGTGTCAACAGTGTCAGATACGGTGGCTGTCGATTTTGAGTAAAGGAGAATGAATGGATTTTGAATTGTGCAATACGTTTGTATCTTTGAAATATTCAAAGACTTTGTGTTGATGCATGAATAGTTGCTGTAAACACTGCTAAATAAAAGTATCAGGTTCTACTTGTGTTAAGGTGACTATTTGCAGGTTGTTGGGTTGCTATCTAGCACTTGTAAGGGCATTGTGCTAGTTGTCCTATCCATGATTATTTTAATCGAACTTTGCCTGTATTTACTAAAAATAAAAATGGACGTGAGGGAGAGAGAGAGAAATGTCCCCTGCTGGAATCAATCAGAGGAGAATGGATTTACATTGCAGGTGACTTAGACTTCTGACCCACAGGGAAAGGAATTTAATATTTTATCTTAGTCTGATGTTTTCTTCAGTGCCTTGCTGATCTTTTATAACGAAGTTTTTCTCTTGCTTTAGGTCTCTTCAAATTATGGCTGGTGTTGTGGCTATGGCATCTGTCATTGAGGACTTTGACACCCAGGTATTTTAATGACAATGATGGGGGCTATACACTGCATGCAGTAGCTGTACATTGTATGTTGTTTTTCTTTATTAACTTCTTCACTGCTTGCTTTGTTTTGTTTTTGCAATGTTAATGCTGCTCTCTTGGCCAGGTCACTCTTGAAAAAGATTTTTATCTCAACAAGACTTTGACCTGGTTAAATAAAGTCTATAATAATAATAAAAAAATCTCATGTTTGATTAACTTTGTCACTTCTTTTACAGCCTTGCAAGAAATCTCGCAAAGATGGTGGCAGTCCTGTGGTTAAGACAATCACAAACTATTTCTCTCCTGTGGCCAAGCCTGCGGAGAAACCCTTTTCCCCTCCTCGCTCCAACAATATTATGGACTACTTTAGCCGGAGGACTCCGTCCTCTAAAGAAAAGACCAGCTCACCAGAACAGTCTAAAGAGAACTGTCAGACATCTCAGTCTGTAGAAAAACACACCAGCCCAGTGGCAGCAGTGAAACAGCCATCTCAGAAACGGGGTAGAAAAGCCATCAAAGCTGCAAGGGAACTTGTGGAGAGTGAAACTCTCAGCTCCACAGAGGACATGAGCTGCCTCGTTGTAGAAGAACCACATGAGAGCAAAGACTCAGCAGCAGAGGTGACCAGTACTTGTGGGGTCCTTGGCAGTGATACAGCAGCTCTGTTGGCCCAGCTTAGTACTGAGGCATATGTCACTGCTGGAATATCAGAGAGGAGTGCCACTATGCCTGTCTGTGTCGAGCAGGCTGGAAAAGATGAACATCATGAAGAGGGATCCAGGTGTGAAAAGACTGTCAAACTTAAGCCAGAGCTGAAGAGCATTCCCTCATCTCCAGCTGCACCTTTGAAAGATAAGGAAAAACAGGTCAAAACTGCCTCACGAAATTCTAGGAAGAGGAATCAACAGGAGGCAAAGCAACCAGAATCAGAACCAGAGGAGAAAGAGGCAGAGGCCTCCTTCTGTGATGTTAGCATGGAGGTTAATGTGGATGAGGCCTCACAATTGAACAACAGCACAGTTACGATATCGTTTGAAGATTTTGTGCGAAGTCAGAGTCAGGACAAGGGGCAAGAGGACATTGAAGATGAACAGGGAAAAGAAGAGGAAAGTAAAATGACAACAGGGGCAGACAAAATGGACACTGACCGGCTGGAAAATATGGGTTCTTTGGAGCCATCACTTCAAGTCTCGCCCCGAACGGTCACCATCCAGGCTGAGGTGCATGTAGTGTCACCCAAACAGGAACCAGTCAAGACTGTGGGAAAGTTAGCTTCCATTTTCAACAAGAAAAAAGGGGCAATGAGCCCTTCAGAAGTAGTAACTTCTCCTCACACAGAAGCTGGACACCAGCTTCCGTCTACCTCACTGGCTGTGAAAAGGAAATCCAATGTGGTTCTTCAAGAGGAGGATCTTGAGCTGGCTGTGCTTGAGAGTGAATCCATGCCAAAGTGCAGCGAGGCAGAGAGGAAGCAGTTCATGGCTGCCTTCAAGCGGCCCAACCTGGATGGGTCCAAAACCAAACCTGGGAAGAGTCAGGGCAAACAGAAGCAACCGGAAGAGAAGAATTTAGATGCTGCAGAAGTTATTGAGGAGGACTGTGAAATTCCTCCCCCTGTTGAGCAAGACCCAGCTGTCTCTGAGGAAAACAATGTAGCTAAAAAGAAACCAGCAAGAAAAGGCAG